TAGTGTTTGTTACTCAAAAAAGTAAAGAAGTGATGATTTGAAATAGCGTTAAGGGACCGCTAACGGTATCACGCTTGCGTACGACGCGATGCATTTTTAAATATTTAGGTCATATTCACCTCCGGCTTGCAAACAAGCGTAGTGCCAAGTCCATAAAAATTTTAAAAAGGGAAAAGCGAGATTTGGTTAAAGATGAGGAAAATGTAGGGAAAAAATTTCAGAGAAGCGGATGAGCAAGAATAACAAGGTTTTTGTTGGTTTTACCGTAGGTGTTTTGAGGATCCGTTTGCTTGTCTTTTGTAAGAGGCTAGGGATTTCAGTAGACACACAGAATAGCACGTTTGCCACAGATCTATTCTGAGCCCTATCTCTCAGTGTTGCTAACTAACCACAGTCCGCATTCCTCGGGTTCCAAACCGACCGCAGCCAACGCTGAGGCTAACTGGTTCCGTTCACGACTGAACCACCATGATGCGGCTTCCAGCCTTGCCTAACACGCGCAAAGAAAGCATGAAGAGGTAGATGACTGGCAAGCATGCACCAGACGTGAGAAAGCCAACGTAGACCAGTTCTCACATTCATAGAGTGCACCATTGTAAACCGCGGTGATGTACACCGTCCCTTGAAGTCAAATTCGGATATCATTACAGCGCAACCAGTCACAAGTTGGCGAAGGTTATTTTAAATTTGGCTATCATCCCTTCTCCAAAACCAGCTCTAGCTACGGTTAGGCTTTCGGTATACTGAAAGCGTTCGACTATCTCTAGGAGATCAACAAATCGGTAAAATGCAGTTGCATGCTTTTGTCTGTCTTGTATAGACACTTTCCTTTGCTTGATACAAAGCACATACTATACCTGGATATCTAGACCACTTATAAATCAATCCGGTTCATTTATCATCCTATAATGTGACAGTACTGTCTGATACACTGTCTGATACATTAGTGATCCACAGGTACACACATCATGGACGGCTAAGCCAAGTAGCTTGCCTAGTTCACTCACAACACATTTGGTATTTTCATCCAAATAGTCAGCCAAAAGACAACAACTAAAATGGCGCGTGATAGTCCATTGTAAATGGTTGTACGAATTGAGCTGAACTGAGCTTAACGCGCGCTAAAGCGGACCAGTTTTTTGGATTTATTATTACTTCATCTTACCCATCTATAATGTGTTAATGATATATACACCGAGCTGTTTTGTACAGTAGTAGAATGGGACATTCGATTGCTTGACTGATTGCACACTTACTGAAATTTTGATTGCCCGTAAGATTCTGATGTAGTTCTGTTTGGTACGGTATTTTGACCAACCTAACCATCTTCATGGCTCTATTTTTTGTTACATCGATTGATAAGTTTCTCATTCCTCAATGGAGACTGCAATTTATTTTATTCGGATAACTGATACTAATTTCATAATAATAATAAGTAGTAGTAGTAGCGACCCGTTGGTTACCAACTCGATACTAGTCCTCTCGTCTATGCACAGCCTTGGTTATTCTTTTATCGACTGTGTTTTCAAGTGGTTTCAAGTTGGCAGCATTTTCACTTGAAACCGGTTTCAGATAGTCCGCGGATGTGTGCAAAACAGCGGATTGGTATGTGAACGGACTTGTTTCTTCCAATCTCCATTATTCTACAGTGAGTTGAATGAGAATAATAGTTTGCATTTACTTCCGCGTTTTGAGAACAAACGAACAGGGTTAGCTAACACATTCTCTGTCTTTTTTCCAGATTCTGCAGACAGTCCCGAAAGGAACTATACAAGGTATCTTTATGTGATTATCGTGTTGTAAACTCGATTTCGTTCAGCACTCTGATTGAGATTTACATGCAGTTGGTGAAAGTATTATGGGGCTTTGTTGAAGATTTAAAACAAGGATCGTTACCAATGGAAGCGGTAGGCACAAAATTGCCTCTGGTTTACCTATTTTGATGTTCATTCTGTCGCTTGTTCTCTCCCACTCTCGCTCTTTCACTCACTCAAACTCTTCCCTTTCGGGATGCTCCATTTTACTGATAGGTATTATTAAAGGTACAAGAGACACTCAATTTTAAGATGCGCGAATATACACACAGTGGAACAGAGATAAAGTGAGTCGATTCATGTGCAGAAATTTTCTAACGATTGCCTTGTGCATTTAAGTAGAAAATATTTTTCGCTTAAAACTCCAATATAAAGGATCTGCTTTTTACTAGGTTGAAAGCATGACTGTTTTTCTTCATCTATGTGTGTACGTGTGTGTAGTAGTATAAAAATTGAAGAAATGCATGATTATCGGTGTTCTCTACGCAGTTTGGCGGATTAACATGTTAGAATGTAAACCATAAAATTTGATTCAGTTAGAAGTAAAGATAAATTTGTCAACTTGATAGTCAAAGGCCAACAACTGAATCGCATTGTTCCAGCCGCTGGAGGCATTTTCTCGCAACTTTGATGGATATATTTACAGACTACGGGGTCTCTACAGGAGTTTCATTCTTTAAAAGTTCGCTAATTCTGCACGTTCACTCAAGTTTTTCAAATAAATTATGTGATGACTAACTAAGAGCATTAAACAATTGTTTTGTCCCTGTTAGGGGCACGTCAGAAGTGCGTTTTTTGTTGCGTCTATGACAAGCCTCGACCTCCGGCTAGGAATTGGAGCCCTCACTCTCGAGCCACATCATGACCGCTTTGACCCCTAACTCAAATTATAGCGATTTGAGTCCTGACAGAGAGACGAAATCATGGACGAAACAGTAAACCGTTTAAAAGGACCGACCCACTACACAAGCCAATTATCTGATCCATCCGAACGATCAGCAACTTTGAAATACAATAGAGTTATCCTGTCGAGATTATAATCGTCTTCGAATGCTGCCACGTGGGATAATTATCGTATGTTGAGGAACCACTGCACCAGGCTGATTCGTGAGGATAAACTGAAAT